GGGACCTGAGTCCAGGATGCTTCTGGCTGTTCAGGACCACACCAGCTCCCCTTGAATTGTCACTCCAGTGGATTTGGACAGTGGCCAGGCTCTCTGGAGTAAGAAAGCAAGGGTGTGCAGGCATCCCAGAGAAATGAGTCTTTCAATGGAAAGGATGGCTTGGGCTGCCAAGGAATTTGTTTTCAGGCCTGGGCATCATAACCCCAAAGAGCTATGTTCAATTTAGGCCTTTTATTGCTAATACTCATCCTCCCTGTGCTGTCAGTTGGATATGTCCCAGGGCTCCCCATAGGCCCTGGCTCAAAGCAAAAACTCAAAAAAAACCCCTGCTTAGTCAGGAAGACAAAAGCTTCCCAAGTCTCCATTAAGCCTTCCTCTACCCTGGGGTAGACCATGTATCCCTTCATGCCTGCCACTCAGAGCCCCAGCAGATGCCAGCATAAAGAGGAAAAGACTGAAGAGTTCAAATCCTGGCTCTTTTCATTTATAAGCCGAGTGACTTTTGGCAAGTCTCTTAAGCCACTGAGTCTTAGTTTTCTCATCTATAAAATGGGGATTCTGGCAATCAATGTCAAGTACACTTTGTACACAAGGAAAGCTCTGGACAGATGTGTGTGTGTGTGTCCCTGTTGAATACAGAATGAGTGCGTTTGGGAAAAGGGATATGCACTGTGGGCTCACTGCCAAGAGTGAGAGAAGGAGCAACAAGTGTCATGTCTCATGGGGAAGAAATTAAATACACAGCCCCCTCAAAAAATGTGGCAAGACATTGTTTCAGGCATTCGCCACCTGGGACACTCCACCTTCCAGACTCCAACTTCCTTGGCCCCAGACTGGTGAGGAGAGGGAATCAGGCAGAAGTAGGGTACCTCTGATCCTGGCCACCATGCTTATGGCATGTGGGGAGAAGCAGTGGAGTGGGACAGAGATAGGGGTTTGCATGCTAGTCCCACTCTGCAGCTTGCTATGTCATATGAACATGCCCTCTCGGCTTGCCTGCACCTTCCTACAAAGAGAGCGCCTTTCCAGCTCTGACCTCCTGCCCAGCCTGACCTTTGGGCAATTCATAAATCTTTGGATGATACCTATAGATTCCTGTGATCTTATTGGGGGCCAGACTACTACTGCCTGTTCTCCTGGGCTCAGTCCCCTTGCAGTAACTCCCCAAGCTTGGCCAGGCTTGTGGATCTCAGTCACGGCAAGAGGATGAGGCCAGCTGAACTCTGTGCTCACAGTAAAAAAAGGAGTGCTGGTCCTGGGCCCTTTCAGACCACAGCCTTTCAGTATCTTTATTTTTGCTTTGGGACCTCTCTTTGATCTTGACTTACATACCAGGGGCTACAACAGGATGCAGAGCATAGATGCTTGAGTATATGAGCCTGTGTGTGGAGTTAGCATAGAGGAGAAAAAGACAGCAGACAGACTGGGATTCAAGTGGCTTTGCTCACTATTAGCAAGTCACTTTACCTTTCTGAACCTCAGTTTCCTCATGGATCAAATGGGAGGAATAACCTCTATTTCATAGGGTTGTTGAAAGGAGTAAACCAGACCATGAATGTGACATTGCTTTGTGAACTGTGACGTACCAGATGCTAGATTTTTTACTTACTCATAGAACAAAGTGAAAAGGTCATTCCTAGGTCTTCCCCCGCCCTCCCCTCTGGTTCTACTCAAGCCCACCTGGAGGTAACAGGGTTTGGGAGGCTTATCAGGATACCAGTGTTCTGCTCTCTTCTAGCAAGTTCCCTTTCCTTCTATAAGCTGGGTTTCTTCATTTGTCCAGTGGGTTAATAACTTTGACCCTGTCTCTCTCTCAGGGCCGGTAAATTAAAGGCTGTGAAGTGCTTTGAAATTTATGAAGCACCTGACAAACACAAAGGTTTCCTGTAAGTGGTATTATTATTTTGGCATTTTTCAAACACATATGACATAATCTAAAATAACCTTCACCCACCCTTATAAAACCAAGGTGAGTGGAAGTATTTGGAAAAAATGGATTAACACTGGAAAATTTTCTGTTGTTTCAAAACCAAAGCTCTTCAGCATCCCAGAACTAAGCAGGCCATTTAGAACAGCTGGCTTTTTCCTTTCTGGTCCTGAAACTCCCTGAAGACCAGGAGGGTAGGCCTCCAAACTCCTGGCTCTGAGCCAAGGATGTTGAAGGGCCTTTGCCCTCCTAGAAGGGCTGGGCAGCTTCTGAGGTCCTTCCAGCCCAAGGGCTTGTTCTCATATTTTTCCTCCTTTAAGGAGACACAGGAGGTATGGGTAGGGAGATATCCAAGTTTGCACAAATTTAAAAGAAAAATAGATAATTAAAAGTCCCAAATGTTGTCAATGATCCCATTTTGTATAGTAAAATGCCAGGTTCCTGTCCCACCTCAGAGGAGTTGCTGGCCCAGCCAAGCACTGGAAGGCAGGAGAGCAGTGGGCAACCCAGGCTCCTGGCTGAGACCAGTAGGGGCCTCCTTGTCCCTGGGGCACCTCACCTCTTCTCCCAGATGAGCCTATGTCTCCTGGGCCTCATCCTCATCCTCCTCTCCTGATGGCTCCCACTCTCCTCTCAGGAAATCTCCTCTTCCTCTCCTCACAGAATGAGGGGCTAGTGTCTTAAAATCATGGCCTCTCCTTTCCAAGCCAGCCCACTTGCTCCCTCTCCTAGGGCTGGAGTCAGGTATAGCAGGAAAGTTGCAGATGTCTTCACAGAATTTCCAAATGCTGCTACTTCATTTGCATTTTCTGTTCCCATCCTCTGCCCCCAAGCGGCCTCCACCCAGTCTTCAACCCTGGTCTTTGGAGACCATGAAGGAAAAGAGCAGAAACAAAAGCCCAGAGACTGTTCCAGAGTCTGCCAGATGTGGGCACTGCTGACTTAATTTTCTAAAAAACAAGCCAATCCATTCCTAGGTAAATTTTTGTAGGCAACGTGCCCCTAGGTAGGAAGGCTGCATTTAATGCTAATTTACTGCAAGGTCTAGGAAGTCCTTTCCTCTTCTCTGGGCCTCAGCTCCCTCATCTGTCAAATAAGGGAATGGATGAGATGATTGCTAAGGTCCCTTCAGATCCATGAGTCTATGAAATGTTTATTGCTATTGCTTTTCCTTCACTATCATGACCTCAGAGCCGCCAGCACCCACCTGGAATATGGTCCCTTCACTTTGGCCATGAATGGCACAAGGTAACCAAGAGCTTGGCCTGCTTGCAGCCCCATGGACAGATGAGCCCTGGCATCGGGAAGGGCTGAGGGAAAGGGAGAGAAATGCCATAGGTTCCCATTCCAATCAGGAGGAAGCTCCTCATCTGAGTGGGTCCGTGAAGGCTCAGAGGCCAAGGTCTGGATTACCCAGGGCACCTGGCCTTCCAAGGTCTTGGGATGCTGGGGTCCCAACCACCCTGCAGCTGCTTGGCATGTTGTCTGAGGTCAAAATCACCTTTTGAGGAAGTGCCAGGTCAGTTTACATCACTGTGCAAATCAGAAGGTCCAGGCCCAATCTGGCCAGAGACCTTTCAAACAAAGCATCACTCTCCCCTTCTTCCCTCTTCCTTCCCACTCTGCTCTCCCTCCCCCACCCTCCCTCAAGGAAAATTCTGGTTTTTCCCAGGAACTCAGCCTGGTGTATCAAGCTGCTGTTAACACTCTTACATGAATCAGGTGGTTTTGTTCTTGGTTTGTTGCAATGGTTCTCAAAAGATATTTGTGTCAGGACATGTTAATGTCCTCAACTAATCTTGCTTAGGAACACCCTCCCCCCTAAAGAACAACAACAACAATAAACAAACAAACAAACAATTCCCCCAGAGATGTGGCCTGCTCAATAGCTCTGAGTTCCTACCCTGGACCCAAGGGCCACATCTGTTTATGCTCTTCAAATGAAAGTAAGCCTTCAGTTGAACCATTGCAATAAACACCACTCACTGCTTGCCACTAGACTGGGATCCCTGGGGACTGAGTGCCTGGGGAAGAAAAGAAGAGCAGAAAGGATGTGGCAGGTCAGGTAGAGTGTGTGGAGCTGGAAGGGTAGCTGGCTAAGGGGTGGGGGAGAGATGGGGAGCCAGGGAGAGGCAGGAGATTAGAAAAAGCAGCTTTACAAAAATCAAAAATTAAAACCAAAACTACTAAAGATGCATAAAGTGACCCTTGCACTTCCGTTGTCTCTTCTTGCAAATAGAGGTGGTGGTGCTGCTAGGGAACTGCTCCAGCACCTGTGTAAGACTTGAGTAGTTGCATACAATGTGTGACTCCAGATCTGGGGGAAGAAGAGGAAAGCCATTAGTGACAGCAATATTCCTATGGCTCCTTCAGTAAGCACCTGGTTGCCCTCCCTCGTCCGGGGAGTACCCCCAAATGGATCCCTCTGTACTTCCCCAGTGAAGCTGCTTGCTTCTACCCAAGGAAATCACTGTGCTCCAGTATCAAGAACTCCTGGAGGAGGTAGAGGGCAGGGAACACTGAGACAGGGCAGCGGATTTCACATTGACATCTCTGAAGCCCTGCAGTTCATTGGTGCTACTTCAGGAGCTGCTCAGGTCAGAGGGGAAGCTAGCGGTTATAGTGGCTCCAGTTTTCCACTCTGCTCCAACCAGAGCCAAACTGTGACTTAGATAAGATTCCATTTGAAGAATGGGGCCCACAGTTAAAAGATGTCTGAAGATTATAAGGCAAAGAGCAGGGAATTTAGAATCAAAGGAGTGGAATTCAAGTCCCACCTTCATTTTTACTGGTTAAGTGGTGTGTTTATACGTAAGAGAGCTAATGGTCCTTATTTCATAGAGCTACTGTCAGGATTATGAGAGAAGTATCTAGAATATTTGTAAAGTGATAGCTATTTTTAAGAGTGCTATTACTGAATTTGGAGTAGGAAAACAACTGGTAACTGTTGCCTGCCACCTGATGACACCTGTGCTTAAGCCCCAAGCCAGGGGCTTTGAAGTAGTTTTTCTATTTATTCATCCTCCTACCTCCCCCTGCCCTGGGCCCCACTCACTTGGATGGGCTGCAGGTTTTACCAGTGCGGGGGAACGTAGCTGTACGCAGGGGTTCCTTGGGCCCTGTATGTTGGCATGGAGACAGGGTGTGCCCCAATTGCAGTGTGCTGGGGTGTAGTCAGCAGGGTACCTAAGCATCCAGACAAAGAAGAATAAATCCAACAAAGCTGTGCCAGGACAACCCCCCTGGACTACCTGATGATCTGCTGTCCTTCTCTACTCTGCCAGGCTTCATGTCCTTAGAGAAAACCTTCCTGGTGCTCAAGGGACAGAATCAATCACTCTACTTCAGCTTCCTCCCCTTTACTTTTCTTTGTATACTTCTCTAGTTACAAGTATCATACTGAGGGGTAATTGTTGGTTTGTGTGTCCACTTCCCACTAACCTGGGGGCTCCTTAAGGGCAGGCTTTGCTTGGATCTCTTTGGTCCCCAGAACCTGAACAAGGCTGATACTGAACAAACAGTCAATAGCTTGCTGACCTGATCTGGGAGTGAGAGGTCTTCAACAGTTACCACATTAAGGGTAGAATACAATCCAAACTCCCACCTCCTGCCCACTCTTCTTTCCCTTGTATTCTCCTCCTTTGATCATGACCCAGTGGATTCTTTAATGAGTGGGTCTCTAAGGGTTATTCATCACTCTCTTGTTTTCTCATGCTCTTTATCTGAATGCCAACAGTTATTTCTCCCTGGGTGTCAACACATCCAAAACCAAACCAAACCAAGCTCATTGTGTGGAGTTGGATCTGACTCATAACGACCCCTCCTTGGGTTTCTGAGGCAGTATCACTATGGAAGTAGATTGCCCAACCTTCCTTCTGAGGAGTGGCTGGTGGGTTTGAACCTCCAGCCTTCTGGTTAGCAGTCAAATGCCTTAGGCACTATGCCACCAGAGCTCCCCTCATCACATCCAGACGTCCCTAAATCTGCTCTTCCTCTGGTGTCCCTCCCACCATCCACCATCAAGGTAGCATAAGTCAATTAATTACTGGTCAGGTCCTTAATATCCTGTCTGCTAAATAGCACTGCCCCTGTACCCCCTCTTTCTGGGTTCCCTGTTGCAACCAGGGTCCTAATGTCATTATCTCTCCTCCTAAACTAAACTGACAGCCTCTCCAAAGGCCCATTTGTTTCCTGCCTCCACCTTGCAGTCAGAGGGAATGTTTAAATCAAACCCATCCTTCTCCTGCTTAAACATTTTGACTTGCTCCAGCACCTGAAAGTATTCAAGACTCTTTACCATCTTATTTTTGCCAACTGCTCCAGCTACTCTCCCAATTTCATATCCTTATTTTCTAAGTGCCTGGACCATTTCCATTCTGTGAACATGCCATACTCATGTCCTTTCTGCCTGGACTGCCCTGCCCTCGTTCATCTACCTGGTAAGCCTTGTTCACCCCTTAAGGCCTAGCTCAACATGCCCTTCTCTGTGAGAGCTTCCTTCAACCCTGAGACAGACCGAGAGGGCCCTTTCTCTGGGCTCCTAGATAACAAGATGTCTTGTGCTATGTTTTGCAGTCAATTCCATGACTGTGTTCTCCACTCCATTATGAGTTCTTGGAGAAGAAGAACGGACACTGATGCAGATACCCTCACCTGCTGACATTGCCATGGTGGTGCCCGCCACCATACCCATGGCCACACCGTTGGTCCTGGGGGCGGCAACTGGTGCTGGGTAGATGGCAGAGGGAATGCTGTTGGGCTGGACGACCGTGGTGTGGTGGATAACATGGGGCTGGGCAGCGTACACCGGCTGTGTGTAGTAGGCTCCCTGGGGGAAAGAGACTAAGGTCACACGGGCATTTGGAGAGGTGGGGTGGGACATGGGGAGGAGAGAAGAGGGAGATTCTGTTCTTTCAAGATCCTAAGGGATGGGGTAGAAGAAGCACTGGCCAGGAACACAAGGTCTGGGTTCCAACCAGGGCTCTGCTTCTACCTTACATGACTGTAGATAGTTCAGTGCCAGGCTCAGCTTTTGGTCTGAAAATTGGGGCTTATGACCCTTTCCCACCTTGCTCCAAAGGCTGCTGTGATGATCTGATGGGAAGAGAGCTCTCCTTCTTTAGCTCTGGTTTTAGCATTTTAAAATGTTTTGTTTGTTAGTATAATATGCTTTTATAAGCTGCCTACAATTTAGAGACAGGAACTATAATCAATCAATTAATAACGTGGTGAATGTGTTTAGTGAACTCCAGAGCACAGTGCATATACATGAAGGGTTATTAGTAGCTGCATCATCACACAGGTGCAAATGCTGGCATTTGTACATACCGAAAGTATGTCACAAATGGAAAGCATTTGCCTAGATGTCTCTTACTATCTATTTCTCTTTAGGCAAAAGGATGAGGATGGAGACACTGGTTTGAATGGGTCACATGGCTGCTTCCTGCTGCCACAGTCCATAGGCCTGCTGACCTCTGGGAGGATATAGACAGGGGCCCTCAAGATCATATTAATCCAGAGCTTCTCAACTATTTCTACTAAATAATGCCAAGAGTCCCAGAATGAGAGTTTGTAACCTAAGAGGTTGAAGACTACAGTCCAAAGTAGCCTACCATATATGAGAAAAATTTATCTCCAGTCTATTGTTTTATATTTTAAAAGTTTTACATTCTACTCTATAATATAGTTGTTTTTTGAAATTAAAAAAGTATTCTCCTCACCACTTAAACTGTATGTAGAGTTGTCACTCCAGAAAAATGTGTCGTGAGTATGTTGGCACTTAATATAATGCCTATCTCATAGTCATCCCCTCAGAACATACATTCTCCAGTTTAAAGAGGCCAGATGGGGGCACTAAGGCGCAGAAAGAACAACTTGCCCAAGGTCAAACAGGGAACTGGTGGCAGAGCCTCAACACTATTCTCCTTCCCACTTGGTTCATAGACTTTACCAAGGCAGGTAGATGTGGAGTAGTAGGGAGAGAGACCAAGACACATGGGGTCTCACCCTGGCTCAACCAATAAGCTCACTGTATGGCCTAAGATAAGTAACTCTCATCTCTGAGTTTCTGTTTCCCTACTAGTATACCAAAGGGGTTGAACCAGCTAGATATTCTCTAAGGATTCTTGCCCCTCTGACATTCTGGGTTTTATTAATCTAAATGACTTCATGCATCACACTTCTGGGGGCTATGGTGGAGTGAGGGAGTAGACAGACTAGAGATCGGGCTTCAGTGATACAACAGTGACAGTGGGCTTGAGCCATGAGCTTGCCTTCTCTCTCTTCTTTACCCCATCTGATCCCACCCCACCTGGCTGGTGGCTCCTCTGCCTGCAGAAGAGGTGGGCCCAAGCTCCCACATGTGCTTACCTGGGCATACAGATTCTGCTGGGGGTAGGCACTTCTGATAGGATACATGGCCGTCTGATATGGGTTGGGTGATGGGGAGTAGGGGGGCGGAGCAGTATTACTCTGGGTCGGTGGGACTTTGTATGGTGTCCCTGCAGTATATCCTGTACCAAGGCAATAAGAGAGATTTCTAATTAGTTAGCAGAACAGCATGGCTGGAAGGCACCAAGTCCCAGTCACGACTCCCAGACAAAGATAAGCTGAATCCAAGCTGGAAACACAGATGAGAACAGACAGAGGACAGGGCTCCTCCCAGAGAGCCCTGGCCCTAGAGGCAGCTCCCTCAGTCCTGGTGCACAGGCTTCATGTGTGGCTCTGGGCATCTTTTGTTTCTCTGGGTCTCAGGGCCCTTGTCTATAAAAGAAGAGGCTGGGACAGATGATCTCTCAAGGACCCTTTCAGCTCTGACGGGCTGGAATCTGAGCTATCTGGTGGGAGACAGGCAGGGGCCCACAGGTGAAAGATCCTCAACCTACTCGCTCTTTCATGCTATTCTCCCATCTTCCTCCTTTCCTGTCTCCTCACCCAGTACTCCAGGGTGTCTTCTACTGCTGTTTCCATTTTTCTCTGTCTTGCTTTTTCTTTAACTCTCTATTATTTTTCTCCTTTTATCTCTCTTTCTTGTTGGACTTCCTACCAAGTTTTGAGGTGAAAATTCCATGCAAAACACCTACAGAGCTGGAAGTCAAAGATCACAAAGGTCCACATCTGCCTGAAACCCAAGCCATGGGTGGACAAAAGCTGGGGCTGGAGCTGAGAAGTCAGGCCCCAAGGAGCCACATAAACAACTTGTGCTGCCTCTGAATCCTGTGGAAGAGTCAGATCCTGTGTTCACAGGGAAAACTTGAAACATGAGTCACATAGGAATAAGGCTGTGTTCTTAAGAGAATCATAAAGTGGAATGATTTCTATGGAATTCAAGTGATGATCAAGTGACCCTAACCTTTGCACTTTAGACAAGGAATCCTGGTGTTCAATGAAGGTAGGCCTTTTTAGGAAATTCTTCTGAAGACTCTAACCTCTTATTTCTGACTTGAAGGGACAATGGCAGGGGACCTTGGTTATAGAGACCTATGAGGTGGTATTAGGGCTGGTTCATCTCTGTGGACCCAGTCCTGACTGGGTCCAGCCGACACATCACTTAACTTCTCTGGACCTCAGCTCTTCCACTTATAAAATGCTCACATCAAGGACCCTTTTAGCTCCAAAGTGCTGTTTCTGCAAGCAGGGATTGGGGCAGAATAGACAAGGCACTTCACTGGACAGCAATATGTAGGAGACTACATTTCCCAAATTTATTGCATCATAGAATACTTTACTTATATTATTAACATTTAAAACAGACTAGTCATTTTTGTGACTGTAGCCTAATTTGGTAAATGAAGGTTTGCTGTAACACAGCCATGCCCATTCACTAAGGACTGACTATGGCTGCTTTCCTGCTATATCAATAGTTATGACAGAGACCACATGGCCTGCAAAGCCTAAAATATTTATCTGGCCCTTTACAGAAAGTGTGCCAACCCTTAATTTAAAGGAATAAATTAAGGTGTGGGGAGTCCTGACAAAGTGGAGAGCATCTCTTTTCTAGGCAGAAGAGCAGGACACCCCTGAAGCATAAGATGCTTGTCTTATGAAAGCATCTTACTAAGTAGTAGTTAAGTATGCCCTACAGCCAGACTGACTGACTGGGTCCTGACTCCACCTCTGCTATTTAATAGCTGTAGAATCTCTACATATCAGTATCCTCATCTACAAAATGGGAATAATCATAGTACTTGTTTCAAAGGGTTACTGTGATAAATACATTAATTAATAAGTACAAGGCAGTTAGAACAGTGCTTGACACATTATAAACACTTCATAAAGGTTAGCTATTATTATTTTTTTCTCTCACTCTCTCTAGAGAGATAGTAAGGTCCTGGGGGTGCGCAAGCAGAGGCTAGTCTGAAAGATTACAACAGAAAGGTTAAACTATGACTTCTAAGGTCTGTTCCCACTTGGAACATACATGTCAGAATTCTAAGATTCTAAAATTTTATGGTTTTAAATACTATGATTTTATGATTCTTTCACATTAGCAAACCAGCAGTTCTTGCTTCCTTTATGGTCCTCAAGAATTTGCTCTGGAATTTTTATCTTCCTCGGGGCAGCCTGCACTACTCCCTCTATGCCACAAGGACAACCATATTACAAAGTGTTGAGACTATTCCTCAGAGGAAGATCAAAAGCCTCGAAGAGATTACAGTAGAATTTGGTTTCTACATCTAAGAATAGCCTTGTCTAGAATATTTCTCTTTATGTTATAAAATGAGATACAAACACACTCAGTATACAAATCAGAAGCCAAAACATTCCTGGCAGTCAAAGAGATGATATTACAGAAAAAGGCCTTGATATTGTCCAAACCGTTTGAGGTGGGAGAAGTGGCATTACCAATGCACCTGAGATCTTAGAGATCATTTAGACCAATCACAAACATTTCACAGAAAATAACAAGTAGATGCCAAAAGAGAAAGCCACTGCTCACAAGGACCCAGGAATCAGTCTCCTTCCTCTACAATAGTTCTTAAGCTTCCATTTGTGTCAGGAAGATCTTACATGAGGCTACAGAAACTGTTCCGGGCTCTAATCCTGACTCTGTCACTGACTCAGGTCAACTCTTCTCTCAGAGAACATCCTCAGTGGGATTAGATGATATCAGATGATTTTTCTAATGCTGACATTATAAGTCTGAGTATTTCAGAAAGATGTTATGGGTAAATCATTGCAGGGAACTGTCTACAATTAACTACTAGTCCTGTCCACATCCTTGGGAAACGCTGGAAATTTCCCTGGGGCTGCTGCCTGAGCTACCTTGGGTATCATAAAATTTAGGATTTGTTACTTTGTGCATAAAAGCAAAAGGTGCTGTTGGGCTTGACGCAAAAAACTCATGGACTTTGCCCAGGTGAACTTAGACTCAACTCACTCACTAGATGTCTGGCTAACCTGAAAGAAATTCTACCTAAATCTGATCGTTATGGAATTAAACTTTCAAATGTCTTAAGACATTACATTTGAATTCAACCGCCTCAGTTTCAGGAGCTCTGGTGTGTAGTGCCTAAGGCATTTGACTACTAACCAGAAGGCTGGCAGTTCAAACCTACCAGCCACTCCTCGGAAGGAAGGTTGGGCAATCTACTTCCATAGCGATACCACTTTGGAAGATCTAACTCGACGGCAGTGTGAAGAACTCAGAGCGCAGAGGAGCAGGGCCTTTCCAAAACTGCACAGATCAGTACTGAGCTGGACCCCAGAGTTCAGGGCTGACAACGTTCTGGGCAGAGCTCCTTTTTGAGTGTCAGGTCTCTGCAATCCATTCTCAGGCATTTGGTGTATTGGTTCTTGATTCCCCACTTCACTAAAGGCAGTTATCATGAGTGAAAAAAAGAATCTAATCACTAACTCCTGCCGCTCTGTCTTGTGAAAGAGGCTTTGTTTATGGTGGCTTGTTCTTTTGCTCAGATTCCTAACCATAATTTTAGGCTCCATCAAACAGGACAATAAAGAGAACATGTACATTAGCAAGATAAAACCTACTCAGTCCTCTCTTCAATCCTCTGGCACTGCCATAAATCTTTTTAGTTGTAGGGCTTCTACCACTTTCAAAGGCATCAGGCATCGATCCTCATATCATGGATACCTTTCAGACTAATCGATTTACTGCTCATCAGATTTGTATGTCTAGACAAAGCTCCATGTCTGAATCTTGGTTCAACTCCCAAGTCTCCTTGTTAGGAAAATGCTAAACAAGTAGGAGGGAGACCTAATTACAAATGAGCTAAGCAAGTGTTGGTGAAACTAAACTGATTTTGTCAAAGCGTCCTACAAAATCTGAGTGCTGGAAGGGACCTTTGTGAATGTAGGAGGGGCAGTCAATCCCACATCTATTAAGAAGTTGCAAAGGTTCAAACACTGCACCCTTGAAAGAGGGGTACATTTTGGTCCTTTTCAGGGACAGAGATGGCTTATCTTGGAGAGAAACTGAACACTTCAATGAGACTTCAGGAAGATTTCAACAGAATATAAGGCATAGCCTTCTTATACTCAGACTTTCTAACTGTGGTATGCTGCCACTGGAGGGAGTGAGTACCCCATCCCTAGAGATGTGTGAACAAAAGAGAGTTGGCCAGCTGCTTGTCAATGTGGCTAGCAAGGAGGTCCTTGCCAGAGTAGAGGATACTGGATACACAGCACCAAGGTCACAGATGGAGAAGTCCAATAGCTAGAGAGCATCTCCCCTTATTTTGTAGTTGGAACAACCAAGGTGTAGAGCATGGGCATGAATTATACAAGGTTACACAGAACCAATTCTAGAATTTATCTCTTTGGGCTTCCATTCGAAGCCTCCTTCTGCTACATGATGGTGGTGGTATTAGCTGCTGTCAGGTCAGACCCCAGTTCGTGGAGGTCTCATGTACAAAAGGATGAGATTACTGCTGTATGTTGTGATTCACAGGGCTGATGTTTTGGAAGTAGACTGCCAAGTCTTTCTTCCTAGTCTGTTTTAACCGGGAAGCTCTGATGAAAGCTGTTCAGCACCAAAGCAACACACCAGCCTCCACTGGCAGACAGGTGGTGGCTGTGATTGAGGTGCCTGGCCAGGAACTAACCCAGGTCTCCTGCATGGAAGGTGAGAATTCTATCACTGAACCACCACTCCCCCCTCCATGATGGTAGATGGGTCTGTAGACATCTGCACCTGTACATGTAGATATAGGTAAGGGAGAATATGTGTGTGGATATGCCCATTTGCATATATAAATTCAAAGATGTTCAGTCAATTTCACCTAAGGTATCTGGAAAAAATCTACTGCTCCTGTCCCTCTCTTAAAGAGACAAAATTAATCTCAAGAAAAAAGTCAGTAATAGAAATTTAACCTGGCTGAGTATCTTTTTCCAGTTGTATTGCTTACTAGTTGGGTTGCACTGGGCATATTAATTCTCTGGGCCTCAGCTATCAAACTGGTATGAAAATCTACCCAAATAACTCAATAGGATTTCAGTCTAGGTTTAATGAAAGGGTGGTTATGAAAGCATATTTTCCAGAAGATAAGAATCATGCCGTATAAACATAAGTTGATGTTTACACCTAAGAGCAATAACTATGGAGAAAGTGATATTGAGTGTTTTAAAGAAAGGGAAAAAATATAAATGATTCTTTTAATCTATTTACTTAATAATTAATAATTCACTGAACCACAGATTTTCAGGTCTAGTCTACAGTATCCCTACGTGGGGCAGCCATTCCTTCACTAGACAGCTCCAACAAGGCACAAAATTCTTCCTTATATGGAGTCAAAATGCTACTCAGTAACTTCTAAATACTCGTCCTAATTTTAACCAGTGAAGCCATTTTGTGTTCAAAATCAGATTTGTGGGTAGAGGCATAAGTCACCCCACTGAGTCCAAAGATGAATGTGACCAATCTGATTGCGTAGATAGTTTCTGTTCTAAAGACTCTATGTTCATACCTTGCTCACATAGTGTGTCTTCTGCTCTAAAGACTCTATGTTCATACCTTGCTCACATAGTGTGTCTTC